TCTGGGGGCGGCCACCTGGCGGAGCGGTAACTTCCTCATTTGGCATCATTGATGCCTGTGTTTTCGCTTTGGCTTTTTCTTGGAGCTCTCCCAATTGTAATTGTGCCAGCTTCCTCTGGACCGCCTTTTCCTGGTCCTTAGCCTTCTGCTCATCCTTTCTGTATTTTTCCACAGCATGCAATACATGATCTCGGAACTCTCTGTGTGGCATTGATGTTAGTCCCACTACATCCTCGAGTCTGCTACGCACTGGTGGTGGCATAGCTTCAACAATGGCATTGCGAAACAGGGTGGTGAGCACTGGACTGTTCTCAATTTCTTCCTCAGTCTCTTGTTTCCACCTCTTTAATTGCCTTGCAACATATGTAGCAGGGTTCTCTGCTTCATCAAGCGTCTCTCCTTTGAGAGCCTTTGGGTCAACTTTAGTTGGGTATTCTGCTCTTAGAGCTGTCCACAGAGCAGTTCGAAAAGCGTTAAATTCAATGCCATCGGCTCTGTGACTCAGCATCCAAGCATAGCTGTGTTTCAAAATGTTTTCCATAGCTGGTACACCAAGGCTGTGAGCCCAAACGGCTTTAATGTCTCCAAGTGCAAGCAATTTTCCTGTTGTTTCTTCCTCAAATGTTTTTATCCATTTGCTTGCACCTTCATTAATGTCAGGCAATCTGCTGACGAGCCCAACGAGGTCACCAGAAGCCCATGGAACATAGTGGGCAACTTGGCCTTTAATTAAAATTGGTGCCATCATGCCTGCTTGAAATCTATCAGGTCGTTTAATGTGAGGCCTCAGTCTCATTTCTACGCCTCCTGCGTCTGCCATAGGCACGGGCCATCGTCTTATTGGCCTTGGAGGATCCGCTGGAGCTGTGGCCCCCCCATGGGTGGAGTTAATTGGTTCTGCTGCCTGCATATTAGTGGTTTGTTTTTCAATCTCTTTTTCCATTTCCTCAATTAGTGAATAGTCCTCCTCTCTTTCATCACCTTGTTCAAAATCATAAAAATCTATCCAATATGTATCTCCTTTTGTTTTCCCATCGTGTTCTGCATAACAGTTTATGATTTTGGTAGCTCCTTCTGGTCTTGCACTACCCCTGTGCACGGTTTGGGAAGCTTTATGACCTGCAGGCTTATCCTTCCTACTGGTGCTGCAGAATTTTGGTTGCATATCTGCTAATGTAATTGGAGAAACTCTACTCCTCTGACCTGCTGCCTGCTGAGCAGCATCGGTCATGATCTGACTTCCTCCTCTGGAGTTATTTTGGACAACATCAGCCTGTGGCTGACACCCTCCTGTGTCACGACCAGAATGATTTTGAGCATTAGTGTGCTCTTTAACGTCGCACACTCCAGTAGTGCGTGGTAAGTTTTGAAAAGAATCGTCTTGTTCAGCAACTGCGTCTCTTTGGCTGCAGTCATCATTTCTGTATCCAAAGTCACCTACTATATTTAGCGTCCCAGTCAGCGATGGATATATGCCAGAATATTTCAGCTCGTCGCCTTTTTTGTCCTCTGATTGCTTGTTTATTTCCATGAGTTGTTTCTTTAAGTTACTCCTGTATTGTTTTCCCTCATCTCTGAAGAAATCTAAGATCTTTAGCTCAAGCTCTCGTTTTTCTCGTCTTTTCTTTGATTTATCTTTTGCCTTGTAGTCTGAGATCCTTATTTCCATTTCATCACACAGATGTGGATCAAAGCTACCGTTTTCTGGCCAGGGTTGTGAGAGATGTTTGGTACGATTGTGCCACTTCTGAGAAACTTTTGGAATTTGTACGACATATTCTGGATGCTTCAGTCCAATAATCAGTGTCGGCAGATTAGACATTTTGTTTTATTTTATTTATTTATTTATCGTTCTATTTTACTTCTAAAGGGTTTAAAGGTTATAAAGTTGTAAGTGCTTAGTTATATCAATAGCCTTTTGTTGTATAAATGCTGGGTTAGACTGTCATGCAGTACTTTAGTGTTGCTGCACGAGCCCTTTAATGTTCTAACTTATACCTGTATTATAGATAAGGTCTTAGGAATGTGTAGTTATATACTAATTTTAAAGTTCACACTTAAAATAGGAATCACAGAAAATGAAACAATGAACCAGACACCGAGCCAGCAATGAAAGCTTGCAATTGAAATCACAAAAAACAATAGATCTTTGTCTGCACTTTAAGTTCACACCATGGAGCACTATGTTCAAAAGTTATTTACCACACACAATATCTCCATAAGGTTAAAAAAAAAAGAAAAGCGAACCAAGCTTCTGCGTTTGGGAAAGGAGGGGTTGTGAGTCGTAGCACAAGTGGGAGGGGGAGAGATCGTAACCTGAAAACTTAGAGGTGGGAGGTGGGTAAAAGAGGAGTGGTGAGGAAGGGGAGGAGAAAGAGAGAGAGAGAGAGAGAGAGAGAGAGAGAGAGATTGAGAGAGAGAGAGAGAGAGAGAGAGAGAGATTGGGAGGGGAAAGGGAGGAGAAAAGGTGGGTAGAGCGAGAGCGGGAGAGAGAGAGTGTGGGTGGAGACAGGCAGGAAAGAGGTTGGTTGACTCTTGAACGAAAAAAGGAAGAAAAACTTATAATTCTTTGCCGTGACTTAAAACAACCAACTTTGTTATATCCGCACCGTATGTGACAATTCGCTGTTATGATATTTGACAACTTTTCAACCCAGAATATCTAAACATATGGTAGTTTAAGGCTTTCGTTGGAACGAGCAAACGGACACTTTTTCACAGCAGTTAGGCACATGCAGACTTAGAAAATGTGACGCAGCAAGCAATAAAAAGTGAAGCAGACGTCTTTTGCAAATTTAACAGTGATCACTTTCTTTCTTAGTTTAATCTTAAATGTTTTTTGTTTTTTATTTTATTTATCCAATTCTTTTCTCTGTTAACTTTATCTCTTTATTTTTTAGACTCTTGAATACCAACCTTATTGCCTCGGGACACTGTTTTTCAGCCGAATTAAATTACAGTGAGTGGTTAAGCAGATCCGATTACAGATCTGAATGAGGTCTTAAATTTAAACAGATGTTTTAGTGCGCACTTAGATTTCTTATCACCACACACTCTTGCAAACAGCACCAGTCATATAATCACACATTCACCTCAGAGCTCTTAGACATTCATACCATTACATGCCATGGCAATTAATCGGTTGTGCACAGAATTCTTTAACTTCATAGACCCAAGCAGCCAATTTAAACTAATTTGCATGCACTTTCCAACTCTTTTATCAACTTTTCGGTCTGACAACATCAACTACAGAGCCAAGCTGCCCTGCTATTTCTTTCTCCGGAGATAAGCAACTTCAACAACTGAGATCTCAATATAGTCCCTCTGGACTCAAGGCCTATTCTCAATGACAACAACAGCCTTTCAGGCTTCAGTCGAACTGCAACTCGGCGACATATACTAGGAAATTTATTTCCTCACTAGAATGAGATATACATATTAGTTGCATCATTCATAATGATACATCACTTATAATCCGTGACCGCCAGTTTCCACCAATTTCTATAAAGTTATGGTGCAATCTCGCTTCAGCAGATTACTATTAATCATCCAAAACAAAAATCCGAGCCAGTTCTCGACAGCTACTATTTATCTCAAGATGCCAATTTATGCTGCAGCAAACATCCAGTGGCAAACAGACAATCGCCTGATACTGTTGGATGTGCGGGTAGCTTCCAAACAGCCTAAGTGACCTGCTTTATATCAGTCATTAAAATAGGAGAAAGGGATGTAACTCACCGTTCTCCTGATGATGACTTCAGATGGGGCCCCACAGGTCACTCCGGCCAGCCGGAAGCCCCCCGCACGTTGATGGTCTCCGGGTCCTTTCTCAGCTCGGCCAATGCACCAAATGTGGTGGTTTTCAATGATAGAAAATCAAAAATCAGGACACCTTCAGTTGATCATCTGATTGCCCCAGGACGGGAGAAAGAAGCGTTTATTTCAAAGATCAAATTGACATGCTGTCCTCAGTACACGTAACACAGCGCTGAACATTTCAACAGAACACATCTGGCTTTTTCTCAACTCCCATTCAAATCTGGGCGTTTATATAGTTTCAACATTGCACTGTGTGGCTGTATGTGCACGACTGGACGCTCTGATAACATTTCCTGGAAGTTCTTGGCTAGTGACCGGATTGCGTGCGAGTGGGCCTAATGATTTTGTTTTTCCAGACTTATCTTGGCAGTCAAGCCAAGATGAGTACGTGACTTCCAGGCTGTAACCACTTGCTACTGCCAAGATATATACGTGGCCTCCAGACTGCTTGCTCTGTGTTATCAATCATTGTGAGCTTAAGGTCACGATGACCTGAGGCAACACAATTCGCTTCTACATTTTCACTGCAGGGAAGAATAAGACCTACCTGTGTTGAACACAGGGGCCAGCATGGTCTTTGCACATTTTGTATGTCCAGTTCAATGGCCCTAGGATGTATTTCTGTGGAGAAATACATGAAAAAGAGAGCAACCTTGGACCAGATTTATCGAGACTTGTGATCCTTAGCAAGGCTCTGCATCCTAGAAAGCCACACTTGAATGCCTGAGTTCCAGAATGTATTCCGTTTGTGTGTATTTAGGTGTGTGGTCTTCTCCCTTGATTTCCCCCCCCCCACTCGGGTCTGTCAAGGGGATTGCACTTCTTCATGTAGCCTTACATGCCCTCACATACTACAAGTCTGGATTGAAAAAGGCTTTTTGTCTGTGTGTGTTTTGTTTTTAAAGTTTAATGGAATGGAATAATGGGATAAAACCACAGCTATGTAGTGATTCTGGTTTTTCCTTTTTTTTTTTTCTTCTCAGGCCAGATTTAAATTTGTCTTGATTTCAGTTCATCCATATAAATAAATTGATACCAAATAACTTGTTTTTTGCCCTTGTCAAGGGAATATTTTGTTATGCTCTCCTGCTACCTCCAGATAATAATCAGTGGGTAAATAATAATAAAAAAAAAAGTCCTCAAACACATGCATGATTTGTTTCTCTCTTTGTGTATCTTAGCTGCGGGGCGGCCTTCGTGGCCGGGATGCCACTGTGTGCCATGCCAGTCCACCGTGGACGGTGAGGGGCCAGAGGAAGGAAGCGAGTGCCGCAGACTGATAGCAGTCAGCCCCCACCAAACAGGAGAGATGAATCTCTGCTGGAATGAGATCAAACGCAAGTCCCATAACATTCGGTAAGAGGAAATAGAAGCATGTGAAATTCACCCTTTTTTTTTCTTTTTTGTGCAACATGGTCTGTGCTCTCCTGTGCATTTTATGCTTTTGTAAGATTTTTCAGAAGGACAAACTGACAACTAAAGGTTTAAGCTAAAAGAGTTCTGCAGAAACCATAAAACTTGTGAGTAAGCAATAAATGCAACTCTTATCAGTTTTTCTTCTTCTTATTTGAATTGGTTTAATAGTAAAATACATTAAAATGCTATACCAACAATTGGATAGATGGAGACGATAACAAACATGAAGCTGAGAACTAATAACTTTGTAAAACTTCTTTTTAGAGGTTTTCTGTCTTTTTCATCATTTTTTTTATACAGGTGTATACACTTTGTGCACGTTGGACATAGTAGTGAGCAGTGGAGACACGAGCAAGATTACATAACCTTATAGTTCTTCCTGCTCCTTTTTTGAACATGCTAAGTTATCATTTGTTATATATATCTTAATTCCTTTAATAGTTAGTGATTGGTATAACTGATCTTAATATAATTCCTTAAACCAGGGGTCTTTTACGTTTTTTGGTGAGGGACCCCTAAACTGATTGTGAGATGGTGCGGGGACCCCCTAATTATATATATTGTATGAAATTATGATATATCACCTGTTCCTATAGTCACTCTATTACAGATGGAGTAATGCAACGAAAGTGATTTGGCCCTGGGATTATTAAAGTATTTCTGATTCCTGGTTGATGGACAGGTGTTGTGAATGAAACGGTGCCCAGCTTGAAAGAGCTCCTGTGTATAGCTGAATGTTTGCATTGATGACTGGTAGACATCTTCTGCCTCCATTTATCTGTTTACTACAGTGTGTTGAATTCATGTCAATGCATATTTAAAGACATTTCAATTATTGGAAAAAAATGGAGGGGGAATATAAAAAATGTCTGATCAACCAAAACTTTGTGGACCCCCTAGGGGTCGTAGACCCCCTGTTGAAGACCTCTGCCTTAAGCCATAGGTTTTAAATGGGGTCGTTATGAGGTCTATTTGTTTGAAATGCTCCTGCTATAAAATACATACAAGCAGAGGCGTGCACAGACATTTTGGGGGGCAGGTGCTCAGGGGGGGGAGGGCACTTTTTAGCACACGTGTAACACTTAATTATAAAAAAAAATAAACGCATGTTGAATGAAATTTGACTTTTATTTGTAACATTCTCTAAACGTGAGTTTTCAATGGAAAAAAGTCACATCACCAACAGAACAGACTAAAGCATACTTCTTTCATCTGGCTCATCTCCCTGTTTTCCCTCACCCATCTGTTCTCCCTCATCCTGGTCTTTTTCTGTCTCTGTGTCTTCCCTGAACTCTTCCTCATCTCCTGTCCTGTAATATGTTGATGGTATAGAGCTTCCCTGCTGTGACTGGCTACAATATATTAATAATAACCATCATGACAATAATAATAATAATAATAATAATAATAATAATAGCTTTAACAAATATGCCACATTAGTTTAAATAATGGGCTATTAGGGCAACATGACTGGAAGTCTTGTCACGTGGATATGACTTATGGTAGCCTACAAAATAATAGCTATTTTAATACCTGCAGCACAAACCACTTAAAAATAAAATGTGAACAGCTTTTAAGATTTTTCAATATGATTAACCCTCCTTTCTTGGCATTGTGCTGCAGTTACTAAATCAATATACAATTAAGACAATAAAGAGACCAAAATGTGTTAATTTATGTTGCCTAACAAAACCTATACAACAGAAAACGTTTGTCTTAACACATAGATTTGTACAGAAGAGGATTAGGGCCACTGAAAAAAAAAAAAAGTTAACTGATTTTTAAATTTTATTTCAGTTTAACATGGGAAAAAAGTCAGAATTCTGACTTTTTTATTGTCAGAATTCTGAGATTAAAGTCAGAATTCTCAGCAAAAAGTCAGAATTATGAGAAAAAAGTTAGAATTATGAGATTAAAGTCAGCATTCTGACTTTTTTCCCATACTAAACTGAAATAAAATTTAAAAATCAGTTAACTTATTTTTTTTTTTCAGTGGCCCTAATCCTCTTCCGTAGATTTGCAATTGCAAACTCTACCAAAATTATTTGTAGCCTATGTGGTCGTCCTCATGTTATCTGTCATTGACTTGGGCTACAGTGTAAAACTTTCAGAATCAGGTTTATTGCCATTGTTAGTGAAGGAGTTCACAAACTAGGAATTTTTTGTGGTACAATCGTGCAACATGAAACATATAATATGGTAAATAGGTAAATAAAATTATAAAAATATCTAAAAACTGTGGGTATACGTCATGCAATAAAATAGACTAATGTATACACTTAAGATAAAAAATATGGATACAAAATATAAAAAGTAAAATAGCATCTTACAAGGAGACAACTAGTTTATCTGGTGACCAGTCGGCAAAATGCGTGTTTGGTGCTGCTGAATGAGACATTTTAATGCACAACAAAACTCCTAGGATGCTGCGCATCTGGCATGCCCTGTGGGCGACCGAGCGAGTTCACGTGACAAAGGAAGAGAGAGAGGCTGGTCGTTTGTGCGCAAGTAGGTCGGTCATTTCGGGGCATTGTTTCAGTTGTTTTTAATGGCTCAGGTTTTTAAAAGATCATTTCAAAACCGACCTCAGTAAAATCTTAATAATATTAATAATAATATTAAAAAAAAAAACGAGTTTCAAAAGGGCATTTTCTTTGATAGAGGTTAAACTTCCTAGTGCTTTAGCACCACCTAGTGTCTATGTTTGCACGCCCCTGCATACAAGTCAGAATCAAGTTTGATGCCAAGTAAGTTTGCACTTACAGGGAATTTGACTTGGTGTTGATGGTGCAGACAAATAAAATATGTACTTTATACAGAATACAGACTCTATAGCTACACATATATTAGCTATACAATATAAGACATACAATATACTATATACAATATATAGTATAGAGTTATGTACTATATACACAGTAGACTGTGCGTTAATGTAAAGCAGGAGGTCTGGAGATGCTGCATTGGTGTAGCTTCTAGGTTCTGAACGGGGAAGGGAGGCACAAGCATACAGGATTGTAATGGAGGAGGTGAGGATGTACTCAATGATAGAGGAGTAAAAGTGAACCACCGTTGTCCTTGATAAGTTGAATTTTTTTCAACTGCTGCAGGAAGTACATCCTCTGCTGGGATTTCTAGGTGAGGGAGTTGATGTTCAGCTCCCAATTCAGGTCCTAAGAGAAGATAGTTCCCAGGAAGCAAAAAGAGGGTGATGGGGATAGCTGGAACTGAGTTCATCCTGAAGTCCACACCGTCTCCACTGTTTTTAGAGTTTTGAGCTCCAGGTTGTTCTCCCTGCACCAGGTCGCCAGACGGTCATCCTCCCACCTGTAGGCGGACTAGTCACCATCAGAGATAAGTCTGATAAGAGTGGTGTCGTTCATGAACTTCAGAAGCTTGACAGACTGATGACAAGTTGCAGCCGTTGGTGTACAGGGAGAAGAGCAGAGGAGAAAGAACACAGCCATGGGGGGGGACTAGTTCTGGTGAGCTTTGAGTCAGAGACATGTTTTCCCACTTTCACATGCCACTTTCTGTCAGACAGGAAGTCTGTAATCCACCTGCAGGTGGACTCAGGCACACTCAGCAGGGAGAGCTTCTCCTGAAGCAGAGCTGGGATAATTGTGTTGAAGGCAGAGCTGAAATCCACAAACAGGATCCTGGCATAGGAACCTGTGGAATCCAGGTGCTGGAGGATGTAGTGAAGGGCCAAGTTGACAGGGTCAATCTGCAGACCTTTTAGCTCTGTAGGCCTGTAAGTGTAGTTATAATGCAAAAAAAAAATGTTAATAAGTTCCACCAAAGTACTGTCCAAATGAACAGATTTACAAATAATTTTTTTCAAGAGCAATAATAATGTGCTATCTACTATGCTCAACTAAACTTCACACCTCAGCTACAGTAGACGATTGCTTTGTGCAGCAATCCTACAGAACTACATGACATCTGTTCCAACCATCTGAGCTATGGCATTTAACAGTTTACATCATGGAGTGGGATGATATGATGTGTGTGGGTGCCCTTTTGTGCCCACTGTGTCCAACTTTGTCGCACTGTGACATCTGTACTTCCCACATGCTAAGCATTTTCACAATACCATGAGGCCACCCAGCCTCACTTAGCGTTAACATGTCCCCTATAAACCTTCGTTTAGTGTGCATAACGCTAAACAATCCGTTGTCCTCTGTGCCACTTGACCCTAACCCATATTTTAAACTGTTTGCAAGGAGATATGACAACATGCTATCTTGTCAGCTTTGTCATACTAAATCATTTATATACCAACAACTGCTTTGCATGTATAGAAAATAACATGTAAGTCAGAAACAAATGTGTAGAAGTTTTACCAACTCAGAGTTTTTATCAAGCCAAGTAAATATTCAATTCAAATAATAAGAAGAAAATATTTCCACCTTGGAGTCCAAACAATTGGAGAAAACAGAAGATTGTCTCACATGTGCAAAACAAGCAGTACTTTATGGAGCTAAATCGGTCTCAATTTTCACAAATACACGTATGTTTATTCATACATGCACAGGACAAGCTCCACACACACACACACACACACACACCATGATTCACACAAACATACAAGATTCACACATGCACAGCACATGATTCGCGAAACTATTTCTGGTCCATAAATAATTATAAATTAAATTACAAAGTACCAGAGTTTGTTAAACTTCACTGCATTTGTGTGTGGACTTTTGAGACTCTCCTGACGTACCTTGGTACATAAATGCATTGTTTTATACAGGAAATGGTTTGCAACCAATCACAGAGCTCCCTCGTATAATCCAATCACAAGAAAGTAATCCAAATGGTATGACTATTTGTTCCGTTCTGTCAGCTCAGCATACGGTGTCAGGCCAGCATGCCCTTAGTAACACGCATGTACATGCATGATCATTATTAATGGTTATCAGTCCAATAGAATG